CTGCTGCCATCTCCAAGTCCACAATGATGTGCCATCGCTCTTACATTTTTCAACACTTCTTACTTTCTAGAGGAAACTGAATTTTGTGAAGCCTGGTGTTCGTTAAAGCTTTATACAATCCAAAATATTCTTTTAATATGTAAGTGGATTACATGTACTTACTGACGGTCACGGATGAAGATAAATTATGTATGTGTTAAAGTTGCTTAGTAAAAGAAATGCTGGAAGTTAAACTTGATACAGACATAAGGAATTACTGCTTGCCAATCTTATTGAAATTAAAGCCAGCATGTAAAAAAAATATATATTTAAACATATTTGTATATTTAAGGGGGCCGACTGGGGTTTTATTGTGTAAAGTATATGATAGCGAAACTCTTCACTTTTACACCATAAATGACTTATTTTAACTTTAGTGTACATGCAAAGTTTGAGGGAAATCTACAGTCCAGATATTTTGAGGGACCCTCTCAACCTACAGGTACATTTACTATAGGATTATATAAGAAAATGCCAATTTATTGCACTTTAAAGCAAATTATACATTACTACAATAGACTTTTTGTTCAAAATATAATATTTGATGCGTAATACTATATTATACAATATATATATGAAACACAAAATTTTACCGTCTTGAAATACCAAAAATTGACGAATTTTCCTATTTTTATAGAGTACTACAAAATATGACGGACAAAAGGGATTCATATGAAAATCTAATAAAATAATGGAGATATTCGGAAATTTCAGTATCTAAAATGTCAAGAACGTACTATGTTTATTACTTTTTCTTTAATAACATTTTTAGTACTCCTTTCTTAAAGAGCTTCAGTTTATCCTAACGTCAAAAACACACAGCAAAGACGTCAACCTACCTATGAATTGCAAAATCGGTTAAAGAATCAGTTGTAGAAAATTCTAATTACAATCTAATACCTGTAATTTCTTAATTTTTTTTCACTTTAATAATTCAACGAAAAAAAATTGCCTTAAAACAGAAGATACGCTTCATTTTTCTCTGATGCGCGAAATATTGCGCAATGGAAACCACAGTCGGCCCCCTTAACTTAAAATGCTTTATTATAAATACATGTTTGAGTGTTCATTAAATAAAGTTATAAATGTAAACAATTGTTATATTTTCAGTTTTCTTGCAGGAAGACAATGAAAACATCCTAGTGTTTAATTTGTTAACATGTATCATATTTTGTAAAGTATTTAAAGTATAAACATCTAAGTATTTAGTCTCTAACCACTTTCCGTTACACGTCATGAAATTCAATGTGTTTAGAATTTCAATGCATAAAAAATTTGCGACAAGAATGTGCTTAGGAAAGAATCTGTCATCTAAACACATTTTTCACAGTGTACCACTAGAAAAAAAAATCATTATTTTTACTGAATAATGACAAATTATAAGACATTCATTGTATTCATATTAAGTAGAATGTCGCCAAATTTTAATAAGTGAAAAAAAAATTGCTGTCACCTTCAACTGGACATTTAGATAATTTCTTATTGACGACTGGTTGTCAATTAAGAGCTTTTTTTCTAGACTCTTTTGTTGATACGATATATATCCCGGGGAACTTGAAATAAAAGATAGCACAAAGTATGACAAATCTCTTTCATATTTGCATATTTCAGTTGAATAAGATGTCAATGGTGATATATCAACCAAGCTTTATGATAAAAGTGATGACAAACTTTTTAATCGCCAACTTTTTTTTTACTTATGCAGCAATATACAACGTAATTTCATCACCTACATACGGGATTAGTATTTCTCATTGATTCGATACGCAATTGCACTCTCTACGCATTAAGAATTTATCAAACGGGGTATAAATTATTGACAAACAAGTTGACAAAATAAGAAAATCAGCAGTCTTGTGTAATATCATCATTAAGTAAGTCTATGGTCGATACATTTACTTTCTCAGCGAATAAATTTTATAATTAAAACAAATGCCGTCTGGCGTTTTTCATACTAATTGTTACTTTCCATTTTTACACACTAAATTGTCAACGGATTTTCCTTTATTTCCCAATCATGACAATGAGCACCTGGTCCAAACTATGATGTTTTGGAGGTCTGTGTTCATCTTGTTCGCAATTGTATTATTCAATGAAAGAACTTGACTCAGAAAGTACACAAATTCGCCTGATTTCAAAATAGGACAATTTGGCCTCTGAATATATCTACAGACTATATATTTTTTTTCAAACCAACTTTCTTTTTTCAATATCTCTTTCATATTTTCTGTAAGAGGTCTTCAAAATAGCATATGTATATGAATGAATTTCGTACGTTTAACGTAACGTCATAATGACATTGTGAATTTTAACACTTGTGAGTTCTCATTATTAAAGTGAATACTGCTCGTTCTCTTCATATATTCAATTTCATTAGGTTTGGAATTAGAAGAACTATCAAACAACGCTCATCAATAAATCAGGTTTTGCTGACCATGCAACTTTCAAATCCTGTGTAACAATTTTTAAACCAAAAATTGTATTCTTTTCATGCCCTGTGCATTGAAACCGATGCAATATCTTTTGAAACTTACAGTACCAACCAGGCCCAACCAAACACAAAACATTTTAAGAACAGTTTTACAGTGGTCTCAGTAGTTCCTGCAGTCGTCCCAAAAGTAGGCTAAGTCATCCCTATGGGCAGGGTTAATTAATTTGATTGGCGGACCTTACTCAACAATGAGATTTGCAATAAACTATATAGCTATAAGCCATTTGAAAATGATGATACATAATAGTACATATTTTAAAAAAAATCACGGTAACGTTAAATAACAATTTCTTTAATCTTACATCGAAGGGCAGATCACCCTAACTGCAAAAAAACTACCCAATAAATAGAGCTCTATAGTGTGCAGTGTTTAGAGCGTCCTTAAATTAATTGAGCACTCGATCCCGGTCAAGCCAAACCCGATTCAAACATCAATTTGATCCCGATGCAGTCAACCCCGTTCTTAATACATTAAATATCAATAACAACTGCAATTTTAATTTAAATTTGTCAAAAACAAGGTAAAAAAGATTGTAAATTAAAAAAAATGAAACATAAAATTTTATTAATCTGCAATACTAGTATTTTGAAAACGAAATACTCCTCCTCACTCATTTGCACAGACAAGAGTAAGAACTTTAGTTACAAACGTCTAATTACACATAAAAATATTAATTGCTCTTTCGTTACATTCAAAGAAACTTACTTAAAATATTTTACAATAGCCATGTTGCCTACTTCGCCACACGGGTAAAAGCTAATTATACTGAACCTAATTGACTAAGTGAAAGCCTTATACTGTAAAAAGGGTCTCAGACATAATGACTAAATTAAAGAATATGGCAAATAAAAATTCTTTTACTTTTAAGAAAACAAAGTACTATTGTAGTTTACAAGGCAAAATAGAAAACCGTTGCTTTTAAACACTAATAATACAATTTTTGCAAACCTGGTCATAATAGCATGTGTAGATTTATGCTAGCCTCTGGGGAAAAACACACAAAAAAGTGGAATAAAATCATATCCAACAACAAATCATATTTTTTTTTATCCAATGTTCATACATCACATTTAAGTTTTACACTATTTTTTTTCAAAGCAATCCATATTGTTTTATATCATCACACTATCACTTCAAAACAATTCTTACATCAGGATATTAAAAAATCCAATGAATGATATACATAGGTGAAAAAAGTCAAAACAGGATAATTTTTCTTATTTAATTACAATATTAATTGTCATCTCATTAAAAGAGAAATATGTAAAAAGCCTCTTTTATGACAGGAATAAAACTGAAAGCAACCCTTATCAAAGTTTAACATTTGATTACTGTTTAGCGTGACGTTAAAAGGGTATCACATTTCGAACATATGTTGCAACTTTATAATAATTTGGGATAGTACAGCAGGCATTCTTCCTTTTATTAACGTTAGTATTTATATCTTATCTGCATCAAATTAACTCTCTTTACATTTGACAGGTAAGTTCGCATTGAAAACATTTCCATTTGCTGATAGCATTCATTTCATGATTTTATTTAATTAAGTCATAAGAAGTGAACCGAAAAACAAAATAAATTTCCATAAGATTTTATTTTTTAAAAATTCCTTTATTCAAAGCTTTTTATGTTGTAAATACCAATGAAAAATCGAATGAAATATTTTACAAATTATTGAAAAGAATACGGGAAAAAACTCAACATAATTTATTTTTTAAAATAACAAAAAAAAAAAATATTGAAAGCTTATTCGGAAAAGAAATGCCTGATTTAATTATAATTTCAGATCCCTGAATATTCAGATATTTATATTCCTTACAATTATAATGGATACCTGTTTCTTGACTCTTAATTACACTTTTATTCATCATGATTGTAGTAATTTTTGAATCATTTAACTTATTTTAAATGATTGTAAAATATGATAAAATGTAAGGTACATGTAATATATAAGTGCATTTTTTGAATATATCAAAATTAATCTAATCAATTGTTCATTTTTCAAAGGCAAAAACAAAGTTTATTCTTCTTTTTTGCATTAAGGTCATCTTTGAAAAGGCAATCAATATGAAATTAAATATTGTACTACTTGTACTTTTCCTGGTGCCAATTACTGTTGAATCAATGAAAGATTCATCTAAATGTAAACAACCAGATCAATGTATGACGGAAATGAACTCGTTTCGTACACTGCTTAACCTTGCCTCTCAACTCGTGAACCTACAGCAAACGTGCTGTAATAAAAGTGAGACAATTACGGACAGTGAATGTAAGGAAAACAATACGGAGTGGGCTACAAAAGAAGATATCAGAGAGATAAAGGAGAAACTAGCATCGATTCATGACTTGATACAGAACTGTAGTCAAGGTAAAAAAAGAAATATTTTTCTAAGATATGCACGATTTTGAATTCATTCAACTTTCGTTACAAATGACATGAATGAAATCATATTGTATTCTTTAATAGATATGAATTATAGATTTTATCCACAAGACTGTCAAGACCTACTACTAAGAGGTTACAGAGAGAGTAAGGTGTATACCATTTACCCAAATAAAGGAACTGGGTTCCAGGTCTACTGTGATCAGAGAAATGATGGCGGTGGATGGACGGTAATAAACACTTTCAATCGACTTAAACTAGTTTAGTTGATTTTTAAATAATTGCTGAATCTTAATTAATATTAAATGTCTTTGAAATTAATTTGGAGGTAGGCGGCAGAATATTGCTATCCTTTGAATTTCTTTCAATTTCATTGGGAATGCCATACACGTATATTTTTCCGAGAACTTTGGTAACATTTTTTCCCAAATGTTTTGCAGTTCTCAAGAAAGAAATCAATAATACTGTTGTAAATTCTGAAATAATATATATTGCATTCTATGAAAGCATTTGTCTCATTTTACATTTAGTACGTACGAATGAATAGACGTGCATGAAATATATGGAGATACCGAGCAGTACTTCAACTCAAAAGTTAATTTAACAATACAAAATTGAAGGATATTAAACACGCACCTAAAACCAGAGGTGGAATCAGGTGCCATGGAAGGGTCAGCATATCCCTCCGACCTGTCAATGCCGCTGTTTGCTCCTTGTCTGCTCGGAGAAAAAAAGAGAAAAAAATCGTGGACAACTCAGTATATAAATATTGACCTAACAATCGTTACGAAAAAAAGTCAGTCAATATTTTACTTTTGATAAATTTTAATTTGATGACAAGGTCATTGTATCGCGTATAGTGTGAAATGGTTTCTTGAAAGAAGACTGCTAATATTCTTGCTTCATCAACTTTGTTGTCCCACATATGAATATAATGGCAAAATGCATGTTTTGCTCATACGTGTAAACAACTCAGACGGGTAAAGGGAAATCACTCTAAGATAAAAATGACAAAAATTTGAATATAATGGCAGTGTTGGAAAATTCAAAATATGTGTCGGATCAAAAAGTAAAATATGAGGTGCACGATGACAATATATAATAAAGTTTCATCCAATTTCATTCAGTGGTATAATAGGAATTGCGAATAAGTTATGGGTACCCCAAAGCGTAACAGACGGACTGAGGGACAGATGGACGGACGGACGTACAAACGGACGAGCATCTTGATTACTATTTACCCTCACACTTTACAAGCAGGGGTATAACAATACGTTTTGTTATTTTTCTTCACTGTAGGTTATACAGAGGAGACAGGATGGATCAGAAAATTTCTTTCGAAACTGGAATGACTACAAAAACGGATTTGGGAATTTGTCAAATGAGTTTTGGTTAGGTATAATGACTTTAAATGTTGCGAAGAAACTCGTGTAAGTTACACGACTAGGGTTTGGACGTTTCAGTAACAATTTACTTTAACAGGCTTAAAAGCATCAGTGGATTTCCAAAGAAGAAATGAAATTGATAAATGAACTTAAGATGACCCATTTCCTTTCCCAACAATTCCCCAGCACACAAGTACCCCCTATTATAGTATTTGTAAGAAAAACAAAACTTAAAGAAAATACTATTGTTGAACTTTGCTTTCACAAGGAAAAGAGATGAATAAAAACTAGGATTATTAATCATGTTGTGTATATAAATTGCAAAGTCAATATTTTTTAAATTGGTGTACACATAAATAATTACCTTTTACATGTTTTCACTCTAGCTTAATATGGAGAATCAACTATTCACTTTACCTATAAACTATGATAATTTACTTACAGAGTTCTTACCGGATAGTCGCATGATTCTTATGCTTTTTTCGCATGCTCGTTACAAGATTTCCACGATATTATTCTTGGGTTTTACAAGAAACATTTCCCGGATCAAAAGGAAAGCTTTGCACGCAATGGGCACAGAACCAAGCAAACACTACGTTTGCGTGCTTTAATGGCGTAGTACCATGTTTTACTTATCGTGTAACCCCATAAAGTAAAGATAATTAAGGCAGACTTTACATATAGATGGAAGAATAGTCTTACCATACATGGGCGAATGGGCCATTTTTGCTTCTTTACATTTGTTAAAACATTTTACTATCATTTCATAGAGAATATTTTATTTCGAATAATCCAGGAAAAAAAATATTTGTGGATCTTATTTGAATTACATTGAATCACTTGAAAGCGGAGGGATATTAATTTTCACTTTGAAAAAAAATATTATTAATCAATTATAAACATATTTTACAGGAAATGAAAAGATCCACACAATTACAAACTCAAGGGATTACACTTTACGGATAAATTTAAAAGATTTTTCGAGAAATTCCCGATACGCAAGCTACAAGAAATTCAGTGTTGGAAATGAGGCATCAGGATATATTTTGAAGGTCTCAGGTTACAGTGGAAATGCTGGTAAGTTTCTTGTTTATCTCTCTCTCTCTCTCTCTCTCTCTCTCTCTCTCTCTCTCTCTCTCTCTCTCTATATATATATATATATGGCACCTGATCCCACCTCATGTGTAAGAGGTCCGTGTTTGCTCTGTTCTTTTATGAACTTTGATATTTAATACTTTTCGTTGTCTCCATATCCTTCATCTTATAATAATCAACTCAGTCATAAGTTATGCACTAGGTAGAATGAGTTTGTTAAAGCCAAATCTTTTTAAAATGTATTTAAGAAGCGTACTTTTCAATGAATAAATTATACAATGTCTAACAAATTTTACTGTATACAATTATTTTTACAGATATAAATAAAAACATTAAATGTCAATTACATGTCATTTTCTAAACGGGAAAACAATTAAATTTATGTTCCTCTGTTATTAATGCAAGAACGAAGCCAAATCAACTGAGCTAGCTTTTTGATGGACTAAAAATAAAATATAAGCAGTAGTGAAAGTGAAAAAATGTCATTTATTGATGTAAATGACGCAAAACAAAATATACACATATTATAAGGGGGTCAGACAAGACTAGAAAAAAACTTCAAAGGAATAACAATTAAATTGCTGTTATGATTACATAAAAAATATTTTTTTAGAACGGAAAACATAATTTCCCACATTAGTATTTTACTGTCTAAACCAATAAGATTTTTTTTTCTTCAGGCGACTCATTTATGTCCCGACATAATAATGTCAAATTCGTCACCAAAGATCATGGCGATAGGGAAGGTTGTGCAAAGTCTCATAAAGGCGGTTGGTGGTACAAGTCCTGTCACCTTTCTAATCTGAACGGACTCTACCTGAAAGGAAAGCATAAATCATATGCCAACGGCGTGAACTGGTATCACTGGAAAGGATATCATTATTCCCTAAAGTTTACGGAGATGAAAATTCGGAAATCACAAATCTGAGAATCGTTTACAAAAAAAACCCCAGAGAGTGTGAATATATCATTGTTGAAATGTAAAAAAAAATAAATGATTATCTTTACATTTTTTTTTTTGAAAGTTTACATATATCTACGTTTTCAAATTCATAGCATAAATCTTTGACCAAAGAAGATGAGGTAGTTTTATTTGAGAGATAGTTTATGCTCTACAATTTTAATGTCTACATAAATGACAAACTCAGAATTCATGTTCTTTTTTAATATTTCATTTACAACTGTGAGAAGGAGCGATTGACTCGAATATATACGTTGGTTACTATACCTCTTTTCACCTTTCACTCATAGTTCCCTTTCTATGGAAGAAATTCTTTACAAACATAATTGTGTCAATTTTTAATATTTCTAATATCGCAAAGAACCAAAATCAATAGCTTGCAAACTTACGAATGTTCAACTATATACATAACCATCCCAAGGATGAATTAAAGTGTACGGTTTTTGATGTCATTGACAGCTACTTTTTCAATTAAAAAAAAAAACACGTAAATTTACTTACCTTGTCACTGGTCTTTGCAAATTTATTTTATTAAAAACATTCTGATTATACACAAAAGAACTCTGAAGTTGACATTAAAAATGATTGATTTTATGATTGACAATACTATGTGGTTCTTGGAAACCAGGTCTTCCAACAATCTATTGGAATTCCTATGAGTAGCAACTGTGCACCGTTATTAACAGGCCTATTTTTGTGAAAAAAAGAAAACATTTGCTGTTGCATTCAACTCCACATTTAGATATATCGAAGACGTACTGTGAATTAACAAGTTTTATATTTCGATACGATATATCCTGTTGAGCTTGAGATAAAAGATATCACGGAGTCTGACATATTAGTTTTGTGTTTGGATATTTTACCTGAAAATGACGCTAGTGGTAATCTAACAACAACGTGATTTCTTTAACATTTCTATTGTGAACTTCCCTTTCTTATGCAGCAATATATCTTCATCACTTGCATACGAAGTTCATATATTTCAGTTGATTCCATATGCAAGATCATGATCTATGTATGAACAATGTCTAAAACAAAGTAAATTTTTAACAAACAAGTGAATGACACAAGAATTTCAGCAGTCCCCTTTAAAGTCATGATTTTAAAAGTTCTGTGGTCGATATATGTATAATAACCTTGTCAGCAAATACATTTTTTCATTTAAATTAAATGCTGACTGTCATTTTCTTGTAAATATATTGTTAGTCCATTATTTAAACACTGAATTGACGAAGGATTTTTGTGTGATTTCCCTTTTATGACACGGATATGATCAATGGGCAGGGGATGCTCACTCCTCCATGGCACCTGATCCCAAATTCGATGTTTTGGAGTTCCGTGTCTGCCCTGGTCCTATTTTGTATTGTTTCATGGACTTTTAATATTGAATACTATTTGCTATAAATATTTACATATATCTCATTAAGGATATATAAAAAAAAATTAATATTGACTATAAGGTTCCAATGTAATCAAAATTATACAACTGATGCAGAATTAAGAGAATCATTCAGAAGGTTAACATTATCAGATGGTTGATAGATTTTCTAAATGAGTGTGAAGCATAATTTTTTCGAAAAAGCTAGAAAGAAGGAAAAAAGCTTTGAAAATACTGAATAAATTAATTAATCACTTATGAGGTGATTTATTAATTTAAAGTTCATTGTACTTATTATAGATTACCCCTAATTTAGACACAAGATTTATTTGACGTAAAATTTAATACAATTTGAGAACTATATTGATCGATTGTATATTGTTTAAGGTCCCTCTAGAGTATATATCTGACGGCGTTACTTTCATACAAATGTCGACAATTGCTTACTGATATACATTAAAAAATCCCTGGCTTCAAGGCATATTACTATGTGGCATTGACATAACATTTTTTGCTCAGGGAAGTTTGCAATGTTTCTGGCTTTCATACATATTTCCCCCTACCCGATCTTAGATTTTGTCAAATCACTGTTTACAACTCGCAATGCATTTTCTCCCACCCCTTCTTAAAAACTACGTTTTTGTTATGATAAAATTTTTCTAAACCACATTTATTTCAAAGGGTTAATTATTTTGAAAATGTAGTTAAATTTTTGTATCCTCGTTTCCAATTCTCACGACCTATAAGAGCAATCCTCCGCATCCGTCAAATCATTACCCTTCCCAGCACAGCTAAGGTAAATACCATTCCTTGTCTGGTTGTCTTCGAAAAAAACAATGTTCACCGCCTTCATCGTCACTTTTTTTCTGTTTGTAAAGATGATTTTAGCTAATTGAATGACGCACATGTGCGTTTTGTTTACTCCTATAAATTAGGCTTTATTGGTTTTTCAATCACTTTTGTATAATTTCAAAAATAATATATGCATTAATTTTTTTCTCTAGAAACAGAGCCTTGCCAGTGTTCCTGCTTTGATCGAATGTAAAATCTGTAGTGTGAGAAAAAAAAAACAAAAACAAATGATTTTTTTTGTTTTACTAAGGTGTTTGCTCATGGAGTCTAAAGCGAGACTTGAATTTCTGCAAAACATGAAGAATATGTCACCAGGTTAATATGTTGGAGTATATCAATCAATTTATCTGCAATATCCAAGAGGTAAACGTGATGGCACGATCCATGAGAAGCAATGCTTTTTAGTCAGGTATTACACATGGTTTTGAAAAAAAATCGACATGTCTTTTACCACCTGTCACACGTAAATTGTTCATAGATGAGTCTAAAAACAGCGTCATTTGAATGATGAGAATAAAACAATCCCACATCTCGGACCTCATCGGAGTCTTGTTTGATACAGTTTGCAAGCTTTACTTGCTTTACTTGGAAAAGGTACGTTAAAACATTTACCATTTCCTTGTTATTTTATGAGTAGAATCATCCCTTTTTGTTGTTATTTCATTATTTTATTGTATTTATTTTATTCAGCAATATCTATTAGAATTATGTTTTACTTTTCAGTTTTGAATATCCATTCTATTCTAACAGTTTAAAGAAAATTAAAATGAACACCTTGAAATTTTTACTGTTTTTAGGAGCCATGGCAACTGCGAGTATACTTGAACCTGCTGATGAATGTGTTATAGAAAAAACTTCATTCCATTCGCTTCAAAACATTGCCTCGCAAGTCGTTAAACAACAGGGCGGTAATTGCAATGGAAATGGAACTATATCGACTGGAATAAACCAAAGAAATGGGCACAGCAATGAGTTCGCAACAAAAGAAGATATCAAGGAAATTGAACAAAAACTGGTCTTAATGCATAGTTTATTCCAAAACTGTTTAAGAGGTAATGCAAATATTTCTTTTTGAGTTTTGAATCTTCTGAAATGTCACAGTGTTTCAAGGGAAAATCAAGAAAAAAGACACAGATGCATCAAATTCACCTGTTATTCTTTTACATCAATAACATATACTAGACATTTTTAGTTCCTCATGCAATAAGATATATTTTGATTTCTAATTGCATGCCAACGTAGAAGGATTCAAATTTCATATATCAGACATTTTATCTGGTCTTTAAAAACAAAAGATCAAAGGTGATCTAGAACTGAAGGTTTTCAGAAAATAACTGGAACAGGCATAAAACAAGTCATGCATTAGTGACGCAAATATGCCATTAAATTACATTGTAGAAGTACAAATGTTTAAATAGATTGTTTTTTTTCTCTAGAAACTGGCTTTCCAATTTGTATATTTGAACATATTTTTTTTTATTAAAACACAATAACTTATGAAATATTCAAATGACTTTATTTTCAATCTGATTTTTTTCATAAAAATCACTGACGTTATTTTTTTTCAGACACGTGTAACAAGTTTTATCCAGAAGACTGTCAGGACCTCTTGCTGAAAGGATACAGGGAAAGTAAGGTGTACACAATTTTCCCAAAGACAGGACTTGCATATCAGGTTTATTGTGATCAGGAGACAGACGGAGGTGGATGGATGGTAATAAACATTCTTTTGTATGTTTTAAATGCAAAGGACATATAGTCTCATTTTCTTACTCATTATCATTACATCAATTAGTTTGATGCATAAAAGTCTGGGTAAAATTATATTTTATATCGGAAAGGCCTATACCTTTCAATTTACTGTACTTTGTTTAGCTGAATAACAAAGATATTGAAACCCAATCTATATTTTCATGTTTTTAAGTAGAGTAAAGAAATGGTTACAAGATAAAAATAAAGAAGTGACAATAATAATTAAAACTGTGAATATGGATAAATAAGAAAGTTTAATAAAAATAATGATTTTCCTAAATCTATATTTGTTTCTACTCTAGGTTATACAAAGAAGACAAGATGGATCAGAAAATTTCTTCAGGACCTGGAATGAGTACAAAAACGGGTTCGGAAGTCTGGGAAATGAATTCTGGCTAGGTGTAGTATTAGTAGACAATTTCATTAGAAAGACCATATGATAGATAGTATTAGTAGGCAATTTCATTAGAAAGACCATATGATACCAAAGAATTTCAAAAATGATTCTTTATATTTCTTTGACACTACAATTTTACTCTCTCTCTCTCTCTCTCTCTCTCTCTCTCTCTCGCTACATCTATATGTTAAGTCACTTTCTGAGAATAAAAAGAAAATCTTATTCCATCCTCTACAGGTAACGATAAAATCCACACGATTACATCATCGGGAAACTACAAGTTAAGAATCGATTTGAAGGATTTCTCCGGAAATTCCCGATATGCAACCTACAATACCTTCAGTATTGGAGATGAGCGATCGGGGTATATTTTAAACCTTGTAGATTATAATGGAGACGCTGGTAAGTTGATGATGAATACTTATAACTGATTAATAGGATAATTTATTTAATTTTATGAAATCCACTGACTAGTTTCTCCTCTAATTTTTGCCTTAAAGACAGATGATACAAACAGATGTTTTCTATGTAGGAGACTTAATGACATCTTACAGATATAGAAAAGTGGAAAATTCTTTGAATCTTTTCTCTTTAGTCAAGAAAAAAACCTAGATTTGGAAAATATCAGTTGATTAGTTTGCAAAGAAGAGTATTCAATTGTGTTCTTTTCTATTCTTTAATGTTTACAACTAGTCTTTGAAATGTCCTTCTGTCTTTCTGTAGCCTATTCTTACATATAAAAACTCTATCTACCATGACAAATAAGTGGTCAAAATAATTTTACTGCTTTAAATTTTCTAATTGCTTATTACGAAGTATCATTACATCTCAATTCAGTGTGTTAGGGCAATAGTGTTTTTTTTTTACTAGAATCTAAAACACTTAATTGGTTCCAAAAAAAAGTCGCAAATGTGCATTTAATCAATGAAACATGTAATAACCTAGAAATTATACACGTTCATATATGTATAATTAGTATACGTTTGTTGATAGTAAAATAGTTAAAATATCAATTTTACAATATATCGATTAAAGTAAAAAAAAATATAATAATAACAGAAGAAAACATAATTTTTCAGGCAGGTCAAATGAAATACAACTATCGTTTCTTTTTTTAAGACGGTTAACTAAATGGAACATCATTGTTTTTCTTCAGGAGATTCACTGATGACTAGACATTAAGGATGAAAGTTTGCCACGAAGGATCGTGATGATGCACACGGTTGTGCAAAACAATATAAAGGTGGTTGGTGGTATCAGAATTGCCATCGAGCTAACTTGAATGGTTTGTACTTAAGAGGAGAGCATAAATCGTATGCTGACGGCGTGGAATGGTATTACTGGACAGGATATCACTATTCCCTGAAGTTTACTGAGATGAAAATCCGGAAGACAAATGCCTAGAGTGTAGACTCAGAAATAGAGACGGGCAATATATTAAGGAATTGTCGGAAATTCGGTAAAGTAAATATAACAATGATGATGAGCTTTGTGCCTTTTATGTGAAAAAAAAAATAGACACAAGACAATAAATTTTTCCTTTACATTTCCTTTATTTTGTGTTGTCAATGATTTATTATCATATATTACGTATTTACTGTATACATGGTTATTTTCGCCCCGTGTTCATACTTTCATACTTGCAAAAAATTTTGTCCCGTTTTAAATTAGCCTAGCTAATGTTTTTTTTGTTTTTTAAATAAAAGAAATTATACTATTTTTTAAAATTCGTCCCGATTTAATTCTACTAAGTGTGGATAGGGCGAAAGGGGCGAATAATTCCCTGTATACAGTTTTTACACCTGATATTGAGATATTATTCATCATCCGAAATTCGTGTCAATATCCTCACATTTTTCTAGACCAAATAAAGTTGGAATTTTATATTTTTTTAAATCGTTTTCTATCATAATTACAATTATTTTCAATAGTTGCAATAGACGATTTAAACTTATTTTTACGTCACAAAACTCACAATGCTGAGAAAAATATGTCATATACCGTATAAGTGAAAATTTTAACGAGACACAAATTTAGCGATTTTTCCTTTAAATTTGGTAATTTTTTTTAGCGAGAAGTATTTTTAGCGATTTCATCAAATGTCACTATAGACGCTATTATAATTAAAACGCAATTAATTTTTAGCGATTTCATCAAATGCTCACTATAGACGCTATTACAAATAAAACGCAATTAATTTTTAGCGATATTCATTTTTATCGATCGCAGCACCCTCGCTAATAATGCCAAACTAAAGTCTCGCTAAAATTTAAACTTATACGGTATTTCAATTACCTCTGTTAATGAGCAAAATATCTGATAACAACGTTCATTTGATAAATAAAGCTATCCCCGATCTTTAATTCTTTGGATGAAAAGGGATTGTTTTTCTGGTTAGTTTAAAAAAAAACATTAGAGAAACAAAGGAAACGGGAAAAAAAAATAAAAACGCAATCTTTGATTGTTCTAATTTCATGGTTGAATATACCAAACGTGTGTTTCAATTCTCAATTTGTAAAATAATAGGTCATGCTTAGCAATGGGAAAATATTTAAAGAACCCTTATTGCTAAATGTGCTGAGCAAAGGTCTAAATGTGAAGTCCTTCACCTGTACATGGTTGACCTTTTTGCAGACGTATGTATAAAAGATATCTTCTATGTTTGGCCAAAGTGACTTCCCTTGCATCTGCTGTTTGCAATTTTCACGTGACACGTTAACATTATAAAAAAAAAATATACGCCTACAAAGATCGAAAGAGTTAAACAATATACGGAATCAATATGAAAATGATTTTAATTTATTTGAGAGAAATTTCTTAACATGAAGAATGTTATGAGGAATTTTCCTCATGCAGAAAATTTGGAAAAAAAAAAAAAAATGTTGTCTTTCGCAAAAAAAAATACCCGATTAACAATGCAAATTTAAAACTATGTTAAATTATCGAAAAAAAGAAAAAACTACGCACAAAAAGCTTCCATCAATTTAAATTGTTTTTGATAATAGCTACATGTAAAAGTGTTTAAAATCTCGTAATTTATAGCAAAGCGGATATTGTTGATCTTTTCGGATCCCAAGGTGAAATATTTTTCATTCTGATATATGTAAATGTAGAAATGTTCCTTACTGCGGCTTTTTGTTAGGTCTATACATATTCAATTAAAAAAAAAAAAAACTTCAACGTATAGATAATAACATTCAAGAATATGTCTCCTTTTTGTCAGATAATATTAAATTATTTTTTTTTTATCTTTACATGTATGTACATGAAAAGAAATTCCTATTTTCCTGTACATTTTGATGGTTTAATCTCATGTTCTCTAGATTCTAAGCCCTCGAAATTCAAAATTTGCGGTAGTCGTGACTGTACCCCTACACCATGCAAGATCCACTCTAAACAAATAAATGACATTTAGTTCGTTATTCAAGTGTTTGGTGATCTAGCGAGGAAAAGTAGACGTGATCAAAAGCAGAGCAACTGAAAATAGTCATCTTCATGAGCAATTTTCATAAAATAAATTAAAATATTTCAGAATTATAATAGATTATTATAAAGAGTACTCTGAACATACATTTATAATTTTGAAACAACATTGACGTGAATGAAACATATAAGGATAACAATATTAAGCTCAAAAGTAAAGTAAAGCAAATGTAAATATTCGATTAACAATTAGCATGACAAACGTTAGTTAGCATTTGACTTAATGATAAATTATATTTGTTGACATGGTCATTAAATCGATCAAAGAACTTCATATTTCATCAATATGTTTATCAATAATTTATCTCGTTTTGAAACTTTAGTTGCAAAGTGCATGTTTTCAGGTATCGAATAAACTGAGAGATATAATTATAGAGTTATGAAGATATATTATGGCATAAGTACAGTGTAGGTGTCCGGGTGAAGTTGGCGATTGGAAAGTTAAAGCCACCATGTTTATCATAGAGATCGGCTGTTAAATTACCATTAACGTCTTTTCTAGTAAAGTATGCAAATATGAAACCGATGTGTCAGACTTTGTGGCATCTTTTTCTCAACCTAACCGGGATATACCATATAAGGAAGCAACTGATTATTGGTAATTGGTACTATACGTCGGCGATATATTTAAATGTCGAGTTTAAGGTCACTGCAATTGTTTTTCTTCTTTTCACGTATAAAATTTTAGAGAAAATCAAAAATTAATTTTAGAAAAGTACTACTGTAACAGTAAATGACGCCTACAACTGATGCACTAACAATAATTGACATTTTCAGCGAATTGATTTAAATTCCTCGAGTCCTTGGAATATATTGTAATCTTAATGCAATATAAAATTATCCTGACAAAGAAGCTGACAAAGAAGCAAAAATTCCCGTCCTTGGCCCTTTTTTAACAAGCGTGTTTTATTGTAAAAAATATATATGTATATATTACATAAAAGAAACAAAAAACTAAAACAAATGCCAGCTGAATAATCAATGCATCGTCCTTAAGGCAGCCTTAAATGCTATTGGGATGCTCATCCTAATGTGATTTTTTGGTATATACATGTAGCTTTTGTAATATTTTTCACTCTGTATTTGGGATGTTGAATTAACTTTCTTTTATATTACAACTTACTACATGTATGTCTTTATTTTGTCGTATATTTTCTTAATATTAATGCAAGATTGGGATTACTGAGACGATGTTAGATAATCTTTTATGCAGTCTCAATTAAAATATAAAAAAATAATTATCCTTTCTAATTTATGGATTTTTTTTTTACAATTATAAAACAAACAAGATATTTGTTGATTTTTATATTGATAAATTTTTTTTTTCTCGGTTCTACAACATAATTAACAACATTGTTTTTTCCTTTGAACAAATTTTAAGGAAAACGTCAATCATTAGACTCAAAGTTTTGTGCATGAAAAACTGTAATAATAATAACAGCAAAAACGTGAAAAGTTAAAATTTGCAATTTATCCATGATGAGATTTTTAGCAAGCATAAAGTGAACTTGAGGTCCAAGGTTTGACTCCAGGTTGAGACCTTCTACAAAGGTGAAAATCATTTCACCAGGTTGATTGATGGTTGAATATCAACCGATACATCTTGTTTTAAACAGCTCAGAGGTTGAAGTTTGGCATGAATCACCAGGGGCCTTGAGTCAGAGTAAAGGATTAGACATGATTTTAGAAATAAATCATGATATTGCACCATCTGTGAAAGAATCGTGCTTCAAATTTAAATCTTACAAAGTCACGATGATTTGAGCGAGAGAAAATAAAAGAAGCGCACCTTCCATATTTTATTTTGAAATATCGTGGTACCATAAGAAGGTAGGTGAAAATGAACATTTTGATTGTTGATTTTATTTCCCCGGTTTCACTGTCATATTTTCACCTGATTCCTTAAATTGAAATTTTGATCAGACAAATGATTACATGTACTTATGGTCTTGTAAAGATCATATTTCACTGAATTTTTATCAGACAAAAGATTACATGTAGTTATGGTCTAGCAGAGGCAATATTTTAATGTGAATTATCTCTGTTCAACAGTCATATTTATATAAAAGAGCTTAAATATTTTATATATAATTCTGAATATTATTGGTTGAGATTTTACATACTGTTTTTAATTCTACTTTTGCTTTAATTAACAGACGACTTAAACTAAAATGAACATCATACTATTTGTACTATTTTTGGTACCAGCTACGAGTGCGATTTTACCCGAGCCAATAGATCAATGTGTAACAGAAACGACCTCATTTCATACACTTCTTAACTTTGCCTCAAATATTGTAAAAGTGAATGACGCTATCTGCAATAGCAATGACACACTGAAATCAGGAGGACAGATTTCTGATTATAACACAGGATTGGCAACAAAAGAGGATATCAGAAAAATAAACATGCAACTTGCAGCAATACTTGGATTACTACAAAGTTGTGGGAAAGGTAAAAATGAAGTTGCTAGTCTTTTTCCATTTATTTTAAAAAATCATTTTTGATATCAAATTAAATGTTGTCTTTCATATGAATTTGCAAATCTGTACATAACCAGGTTCAGATACATTATTATTTAAGTTAAAATTTTGCATAAATGTACGTAATTGTACTTGACCTATTATTCGACTTCAGACATTTTATGTTCTTTAAAATATAAACTTAGGGTTGACCAAAAAATGAAATTTATGGTTCAAAATGCCAAACACGTCGTATAGAAAACCTTACAAAAAAAATGTTTTCATTTTTCAAACAAAGATATTACACTGACATATTGTATGTGATCTTTTAAAAGTATAAACTTAGAGTTGATCTAAATTGAAATTATTTAAAAAAAAAAATAACGAACACATTGGAAGGATTTTCTCAAAAAAGCTCGTT